TAATGAGGTTCAATATAGTAACTATAATTAATTCATACAATAAGTATTTTCTTCTTGAAGGCAAATCTTGCACAATAATAAACAAGTTTATCTTATTTAAATTATTAGTTGTTATTCGTATGTTTTCTTAGAATTAGTTTTTCGCCACTGTAAATAACAGCACTGTATATGTGTTTATCAATTATTTATATTCAACTATTATATTTAAGTCGTTTTTCCTTCAGGACTACGGACCCAATAAACGGTGGTCAAGCCGAAAAAGTCGTTTTCCCTTCAGGTATTAAAGAAAATTGTTTTGTATAATACCTGTAAATCTGTTTATCTGTTACGAAGTTCAAATTCTCTGTGGTGATTACATAATTTTCACCAGGATTATGATATATTTATGTATGTATATATGTATAGGCACGTGTCCGAGTGAATACAACGTTTGCTTTCCGACCATGAGAATCTTCCCAGGGTCGATTTTTTCAGGAAGATGACTTCTTCATGTTCTAGGACTTGTGAGGAGATCCAAGCGTGCGGTACATTTGGAAATTAACTGAAAAAGAAATACCACGGATTGACCCAAGCTTTGAGGATTAAATTGGCTAGACAATTCTTCCGAATTCGTCGCTAATTGTGCTAGCACGAAGTCGTAAGTCATTGTGGCCGAAGGTTTGAGCGTAATGATATTGTTCAAGCGACTGATCATGAAAGATCATGCGCTCTCTTCGAGAGACTATAATTAAGGTCCGCTCAATATAGTTGCAGTATATACTAAAGGTGAACTGCGTGGGTACTGATTTTGTTTTTGTTTAGAGGCATATCAATCTCACTTTGACATACTTTAGCGTTTGTATGTTTGTCACGCATATTTGAATATTATCTGTAATTTCATTACACGTGATACGTATCTAACTAATAAGAAATAGCTAAACACAACATTAATTTGCGTCTCTTTGCTTTTTATCAATTTTATTATTTCTATCTTGACCACTGACGAAGCTTTAATAAAGTGAAACATTAGATTACGGTCTGTTTTCCTCTTGTTCTTTTTTCCTTCCTATATATATATATATATATATATATATATATATATATATATATATATATATATATATATAAAGATATATACACTACAGTTCAAAAGTTTGAGGAAACACCTGGTAATTTATTAATTTGGGACAAAATTTTTTTGTATTTTAAATAAGAATTATCATACATGGTTAAAAAAAAATCAGATGATTTTTATTAGAAATTTTATTATAACAAAAACAAAAAAAGCATTTTATAATTAAAATTTGCTCTCATCAAAATAGCCTCCTTCAGCATTGATGACTGCACCACAAATTTTCGTTGCAAAAGATTCTCAAAGTGTAAGTTTGATAATTGATTCCATTCTTTTTTTTTCAATGACTCTAAGCGCTCTTTGTCAGTTTTTAAGTCTTCTGTCAAGTTCATTCTATGTTAATTCTGGGGGTGGCTGTAGTGTACATATGCATACACGATGTTGAATAATTTTTATATATAAGTTAAAAATTATCATATATATATATATATATATATATATATATATATATATATATATAATTTTTTATCTTTTCAACACCCCTCATAGAATTTAAGCACAATTCCTTATGCAAAAAATAACATCGCCAAATATATTTAGATAGATAGATAGATAGATAGATAGATAGATAGATAGATAGATAGATTTGCATCTCAGGTTACTATGGCGTTCGTTTTGCACAGAGATTAATATGCCGATCTTACAAGTCAATGATCGTAAGCTCAATACGCTCAGATTGCTCTATTAATGTGGACAAACCTGATTTTAGACAAACAGATATCTTTACGACAAACGTACATTTGCTAATCTTAGATATAAGAAAATGTGAGACAGTGGAAGAAATCGTGTTACGCCTCATCTTTCAAGTTGGTAGGATTTCACTACCGTGAAAAGTCAGCATTTATAATCTAAATCTAACTTCATGGAAAAAGCTTGACTATCCTCGTCGAGAGGAAGGTTCTTTACGAGTAAGTTTATTGAACCAGCGCCATAAATCTATCCGCTAACACCTTCATTATTCATTTATCATTTATCTATATCGAACAATCTCTGTGCGATTTGACAATGAAAATCCCTGAAAAATCGGAAATCAGTAACTGCCTCAACCCCTAGACTAAACTCGCGAATGCATGTATTGTACCTATCTAACCGTACCCAGTGCAAATCACTCGTGTCCGCCCTAATCAATCAGCCGTTGGTTGTCAAGCTACACTCTCACTTTTGGCTAGAGACGACCCCGTCGACAGTTGTGTGTGTGATAAGGGCGTAACAACCGGGCAGCTTCGACAGGTGGAAACGTCGTAAGCAACCCCTGGTGTATGTAAAGGTATTACTCACTTATACTTATCACCCCTCTACCGACCCTCATTGCCCAGCCCTGTTTGCTGCCACAATCCACGTCCACCAAGACACTCAGTGTTTTGCACTTGATGTCATCCCCCCCTGTTCTATCAAGAAAAGAAAAAAAAAGTGCACAGTAGCAACAACAATAGAGAGAAGGTCAAGACGACAATAGTTTGAATGCTCGGTCCTGTGTCGTTTAAATCCAGCTGGTATGTTGATAATAAATAAATCAAGCCTATCTTCATGTTGTTCACAACAGCCTTGTTCACTCGCTATCGGAACACTTAAAGAAAACTTCCTTTATTTCTAATAGAAATGATTAAGCTTAATTGAATCTAAGATTTTGTATACTGTATATACTCGCATATCGTGTGACTTTTGAAGACCTCATTTTAAAGCTAATTTATAGCTAATTTTAAGGAGGTCGTATCATACAAATTAGTGTATGTACTGCTGGTCCGGACTACGCCGTTAACCAAACTATAATTCCATTTACTGTAGTCAAAAAAGTACAGCTTTTTTTTCTTTTTCTTTTTTTTTAAGCGTTTCACCCCAAGCAAGGCGGGAAGCCACTAGCACGCAAGTGGTTACAAAGAGTTGGAACAAGAACAAATAGGAGTGATAGAGGAAAGGATGAAGAGAAGGATAGGGGATAGATCAAGGCATCTGAAGACGTCGATTGACATTACATTTGAATAGTTGGAGATTATAGCTATCAAGGAAACAGGAAAAGGAGAGGTACTGTCACAGACGAGAAGTGCGAGACATAAAACTAGTGGAGTAGAAGAGACGGCTACATTTAACAGTTTCGACAGTGAAAGGGTGTGAGCGAGATGCCAGCCTAATTGAGCACTTAAATTCATGATGTTTGGGAACCAGCGAAAGCAGCTCATCGGAGCAGTTACCATGGAAGTATTTGTAAAAAAGACAGAGGGAGGCGATGGTACGTTTGTGAAAGAGTGACTGCAGACGAGATGCAAGATCAGGGCCAATTACATTGCATATCCGTCTCTGAATTTTATCAGGGACCTTGAGACAAACAGAAGGGGCTCCAGACCATATATGGTAGCAATACTCCATGCAAGGGCGAATGGTTGATTTGTAGATTTGAAGGATCGACTCAGGCGAGAAAAAAATTCTTGGCGCGGCACAGGGAGCCAACTTTCCTTGCGGTGGACGAAGCTATTAAAGTTGTATTTAAAATAAACATGATTTTGTTAAAACTGATGTTTTACTTAACTGTGTCCAATAATAATGCATGTAATATTCACATGTTAGTATCGTATTATAAAATACAAACATAGCAAATATGCATCATTTCCATTGTTTACGTTTGTAAGATGTTTAGCTGTTTCTCGTTCGGTTGTTTATGGCTATACGCGTTTACGCAATGAGTACAGTGTTACTAACGTTACTTTAATCATTCTCTTTTATATTTTTAACTTATTTATCCCATCTTCTAATTAGAAGATGGGATAAAGAGACAGAAGAAAACAGGTTAGTCTATTGTAATTTGGTCTCTCAAAAAGGAACTCGCAAGGTACAGGAGGTACATAATAAAATCATGTTTTATTAGTAAAATTCTGGGGGTCGCACGATACGCGAGATCACGCGTTACACGAGTATGTACGGTACTTTTTTTTAATCATTTCACCCCAAGCTAGGCAATAAAGCCACTGAGACACTTTAATACTAAAATTTTCACTGACTGTATAATATTATATAAAACCTCTTGTCACTCTTTTTAAAACATTAATGTCCACCGGAAAATACAGTGTAATAATTTAAATTAAAATTAAAATTCCCGTATTAATTAAACGTTAAATATGTCTATTAATTTTAGGCTTTTCAAAATCCGTTATAAATTAGAGGTTTATAAAATCCCCGTATTAATTATACGTTAAATATGTCTATTAATCTTAGGCTTTTCAAAATCCGTTATAAATTAGAGGTTTATAAAATTAGCGTTTTAATTATACGTTAAATATGTCTATTAATCTTGGGCTTTTCAAAATCTGTTATAAATTAGAGGTTTATAAATTTTCTGTATTAATTATACGTTAAATATGTCCATTAATTTTAGGCTTTTCAAAATCCGTTATAAATTAGAGGTTTTTAAAATCCCCGTATTAATTAAACGTTAAATATGTCTATTAATCTTAGGCTTTTCAAAATCCGTTATAAATTAGAGGTTTATAAAATTAGCGTTTTAATTATACGTTAAATATGTCTATTAATCTTAGGCTTTTCAAAATCTGTTATAAATTCGAGGTTTGTAAAATTCCCGTATTAATTATAGCTGTAAAAAATACCTTATTAATCAAATATTGATTGATTGATTTTGTTTGCTATGATTTGTTAACTCTTTGCAGGTTTTTTAAAGCAAGCGAATATTATTGGATTGTAAGAAATTTTATTTTGGGGATAATAATGGTCTAGTGAAGCAACTAACCCATAGCTGGAGCGAGAAGAGGTGGATTCATGCCTTTCCCAAAGGTATTTGCACGTAAGTAAATATAACGAACCCAACTGGAATTCGAACTCGGATCTCCGATTAAAAATACCGAGTCATTATGTATTGCATCATCCACACAATTAAGCTTAAAGCACCTGATATTCCCAAGTGATCAGCCATCTAAGTACTGCCCAGGCTCCAAAATGCTTAACTTTTGGTGATCGTACGGGAACCGATGTTTTAACATAATGTGGCCGTCAGCTTTTTTAAAATAGTTTTGAAGTGTTGAATTTCTTGTAACAATTTTTAAGTTAGAAACAGATGCTATGAATGGATACTTTTTATCATCGGATGACATTCAAAGACGTTTGCCATGTATTAATCGATAATAATATAGTCGAACGTGATATCGATCCTCATTGGGTGCATTTGGTTATCTCATCACGATCACCAGTCCCTATAACCTAATAGGCTCATAGGGACATCACACGTACTGCAGCTGCAGTACCAGTGGCATTTCCAGGGAAAGTTTGAATGCTTATTTAAATTCTCTGGTTTTCCTTCTCCTAGACTAGTCACCAACCAAGGCTATAGGACTCTGTCCTGCTATTTATTCATAGCCTGGGCTGGGGAGAAGAGATGGATCCATACTTTTGCCAGTATTAATGAACTGGAACAGAATTCGAATCTGGCTATTCGATTCATCAATCCCATCCGCTATCTATTATTCCACTGAGCCTTGATTATGTAACATTCATTAAATAGTTGTGATTCATCGCTGCGTTGTAATGGTAAGCGAACTTGTCTTGTAAACAATTAAAACTCTGCAAAGAGTCCTAATCGGCAGTAATCCTGTGCTTAACTTAGTTTTACTAAATAATTATATTGAATTCAAACCTACGTTTACCAAGTGTACAGTGACCAGGAAATTATATATATATATATATATATATATATATATATATATATATATATATATATATATATATATATATTCATTTAAAGAAAAACAGACCACTTTAAGTCTCCATTTGTAATAATTTGTTTCACCAGAGAATTTTATTTTTCTCTGGATCTTCAGACTTCACTTTTAAAAGGTGAAACGAAAAATGAATTTAAAATTTACACTTTTGACGAGTAGTATTAAGCTTATATAAGTTGATATAGAGGGTGGTGAGGAATAGTGTGAGAGACATAGTCGAGTTTAGAGAGGGAAGGGAGAGTTTTAAAATTTCTTTTTATATTTCTTTTTATTATAATACTTAATATTGAAGAAGGAGGGGTTAAGGATCAGACATTGACCTATTTAATCGGTCAACTCAACGGTAATATATATATATATATATGTATATATAATTCGGAGCAGCATGAATCTATCCAGCTCTTATCTTAAATAATAACTCAAAAGAGACTGTTTGACCAACACAAGGACTGACCAAAATTCGTGTTAAAAAATAAAAACATATGAAAACTACAAGCAAAAGTTCATTTTCTCCATCAAGACATTTATTTCTGTAGTTAACTGATACCAGCAAGCAGAAATATTTTCTCCTGATGATGGCCATGTTGACCGAAACTAGTCGAGGAATCTGACTGATATAATAATACAAACGAAAAAGTATTGATATACAACTCAGTGTTCCTGAAGATTTTTTAATTTTTTAATATTTTTATTGTTCAATATATATATATATATATATATATATATATATATATATATTACTTCAAACGTTATCTTCTGTATTACATCTATTGACCTGCACACTCGATAAATCTTCATAAAGAACATATGCTCACAGGCAAAATTCGAACCTGCGCCTCGTTTTGTAGAAGAAAACCTCCTTTGATCCGGTGTGGCTTGACTGCTCGACGCCAAAGGTCTCTTTCCCTTTTTTTCCTTGTTCAAATTGTTCTCCTACAAAGGGTGACGCCGCTTCGCAATCTCATATTGTATATCTCTAAAAGTTGAAATGAAGCATTCAGCCGTTTTCCTTTGATTTTCCAATACATTTGTTGGGTATGCTGGCTTGGGAAAGTAGTAATTCCTTCAGGAAATGTGAGATTGGGGGGGGGGAATAGATTGATATTTTGATAATATAAAAAATAAAACAAAATTTGTTCTTTTTTGAGCTATACTAAATGACGTAAACTAAGGTCTAAATGCCTACACATGAATGATGAATTTTTATGAGCGTCTATAAATTTAAAAATTCACCTTCGAAGATGCCATATGACGTAATCTAAGGTCTAAATGCCTCGATATTTCAACTGACCTGTTGAATATTTATGAGAGTCTTTGAATTTAAAAATTTCATTTCGAAGATGCTATATGACGTCATCTACGTTCTAATACTAACACCTAAACTTTTCAGTTAACCTGATGAACATTTATGAGCGTTCTTAAATTTAAAAATTTTGAGTAACTGTCAAACATATACTTGTTGCAAAATAATATAAGGACATTTTCCTCTTGTCTTTTCATTCATTTTGTTTCTTCTACAGATATACTCCAGCCGAGAAAATTAGCACACACACACACACACACATACACACACATATATATATATATATATATATATATATATATATATATATATATATATATATTATTATTATTATTATTATACACAAAGGGACTGTTTCGCTGTATCACAGCTCATCAGTGTGCTAGACATCCGATTGCCTCAAGCCGAGATCGAAACCCGACTGATTCAGCAACAGTCGGAGATTTCCCCCTAAGCCATCAGTTGAAAGAAAGGCGAATTTTTACGTACGTATCCTGTGAATAAACACGCCACTGTCTGAGAGTGCTCAATTCGGGAAAAGCTTTTAAGGGTGCGATGGATAAATTATCGTAAAAATTACCCAGTATATTTACCCAAATTACACAAAAATATCTTGGAATACTAAAGAGTAAATTTATTCAATAAAATCGTCATTGGCTTCAACCACGCCCTCCGGACGACTTCGGAATCACTTACAACTCTTCTGGGCGGTCTCCTCGTTTACGTTAATGAATGCTACCATGATCCTTGTCTTCAGTTCGTCTTTGGTGCTAAAAGAAGTTTTATTGTTCTCTCACTCAGCTGTGCCGCACACATAATAATCAAGGGGGTTGCAGTCTGGGGAGTTAGGTGGCCAGATGTAAAGGGGTGATGTGGTTGCAGAAATTGTCTGACAGCCATGACTGTTTGGCATGGTTCAGAGTCCTGTCGCCAGACAGAGTCTTCCAGCAACCACCGCCTTGACTCAGGGCAGCACTACCTCTTCAAGGCATTGATGTAGGCCTCCGTGTTGAAATCATTAATCAGTTCACCCCAAGCAAGGCGAAAATGCCACTAGTACGCAAGGTGGTTACAGTGAGTGAAAGAAAAGACTGACAAAGGGGGATTGAGAAAAGAACAAAAGATGAAGTGAATTCAAAAAAACAGAAGATTGTGATTGACGTTGCATTTAAATTTTTGAAGACAGTATTTATCAGGAAAGCAAGTAAACGGAAAGGAGTTTCATGGGTGGGAAGTGCGAGGAAAGAAACTGTTGGAGTAGAAGCGGTGGTTGCATTTAGCTATTTCAACAGTAAACGGATGGGACCTAGATACCAAACTAGTTGCACTTTTAAATGCATGTAGTCGGAGTACAAGGGATATAAGTTCATCAGAGCAGTTGCCATGAAAATATTTGCAGAAAAGATAAATGGAAGCCAGACCACGTCGGGGAGAAAATGACTCAAGTCGAGATGTCAGGTCAGGATCAATTACATTGCAGGTCCTTCTTTGTATTTTGTCAAGAACCTTGAGACGAATAGCAGGAGCACCAGACCAGATATGACAACAGTATTCAATGCTCGGTCGAACGGTAGATTTGTAAATGTGAAAGATGAACTCTGACGGGAAAAATTTTCTGGCACGGCGCAGTAACCTAAATTTCCTTGCAATAGATACAGCTACTGATTCGATGTAGTCGCTCCACTTAAAGTCAGGTGAAAACGTGAAGCCAAGAAAGAGAGGTGTGTTGCTTTTCAGGAGTCTATCATCAGCCATACTGACGGCAGACAGAAAAGGTTTATGCTGGTTAAATATGGCCTGTGAAACAATATGCTAAAGACGAGTGATCATCAATTCTGCTAGAAGGACTGATTTCTTGGGCAATTGACAAGTGTCGGTATTAGTCACAATGATCTACGAAACGATGTCATTATTCACTGGACCACCCCGAAGAGACTTTTACCCAGTGAGGTACTTGTATGTAAACAATTTGGGCGGCTTTATTGATTTCTTATAGTAAAGTTCACGTTTAAATTGATTTAGAAACGACCGTTAAAAACTGAGACGTAATGATAAATATATTATAATCCATATGACAATAGACACACACACACAGATATATATATATATATATATATTGAAAAGATTAAAATTTCTTTCATTCACAGTTTACTGCTCCCCCTTTCTCTAATTGTTTATTTCAAATGTCTTTCAAAATAAACAGAAACAGGTTAAAATAGATAGATAGATAGATAGATAGATAGATAGATAGATAATATGTATGTATTAATGTAGGTAGCAGTCCTTCATTCATTCACATTTGATTAAAGGTTCCTAAACAAAGAACTTATCGAATAACATTTAAACAAATGCTAAATATAATAAGAGATTATATGGACACAAAAGGGATCTTTTACAAAATAACACGCTAAATGTATTCACTGGAATGAGTCTGACAATAGTTTCGATTTTAAAAATGCTACTTTAATTAAAAGAGAAAGCAATTTACAAAGATGAAAATGTATAGAAATTGCTTTCATCACTTAAAATTTACGTCCAGATTTTTACAACATTTCTCCTCACTTGACCAATCTTCTATTATCACAATGTGAGATATTTAATAAAAGTAAAAAAATATAAACAACAACAAAAACGAAACCAAATGAAATCGGCTAAACTATATACCCAAAACATCTATTTAAAAAAAAATTAATTAAAATTCTCAGCAACCCCTCTCTTTCATGTGCATGTGTAATCGCATCAACGTAAACATCACTTTAGTCCAATGAATGTTAAATTAAGAAACAGACAAATTTAAGGGTTCATGGGATCATAGTTTATTTCCCCAGGAATGGAATTTTCGTCTATATATATATATATATTCTTTTTTTCTTTTCTTTTAATATATATATATATATATATATATATATATATATATATATATTCTTTTTTTTTTAATATATATATATATATATTCTTTTCTTTTTATATATAT